TTGAGCGCAGGAGGCTGTGTGGTCTGGTGGTTGCAGGGAGGGCTGCGGGCCGGGGCTTCCTGGGTTCAGCTACCAGCCGAGACACTGACTCAGGATGGGCAGAGCCAAGTCTCTTGGCTGGAGGCAGCTAAACTGTAAAACCCAGAGAGAGAAAACCGCAGGTCTGTGCTCAAGAGCTCTGGGGGAAAAGCATATTTTGGAAATTAAAAAAAAAAAAATCACCCTGTTAAGTTACAATTGGGGACTTTTTCAACGAGAAATGAACATTTTTCCTGCTTCTTGCCCGACACGTCCTCCTCCGGGCAGAAGGGTGAAGCCAAGTCAGTCTCTGAGGGTGTTCTGTGTGGGATGAATAGAGAAGCCTGGGGGTCTGGGCAAAGCCAGTCAGCCTCTGTGAGCTGTCACAAATAAAGCTCAGGATCCAGCACTGGGGGCAAAGAGGCTCCACACGAGTTCTTCCCTTTTCCTACTCAGGCTGCCATCCACAATAAAATGCCCCCTGCAACCATGGGAGGAGAATCCTCTCCTCGGACTTCTGGATGCTTCCAACAGCCTGAGCAGAGACTTGCCCAGCTGTAACCAGCAGTCAGTCCAGCTGCAGCCCCACGTAGGCTCCCAGGCCACAGCCAGAGATCCACATCACCCGGGTCCTGAAACCCACGATTCTTCTAATCAGACAGAGTGGGTGTCTGCCTACGTAGCTGGGCTTGAAGGACTCCTGGGCAGCTTGCCCCTCCCCTCCTAGCCTCATTTCTCTGGACCTAAAAAGCTCTCTGATCTTCAGGAATATCCTATTGAAATGAAAGCAGTATTTATGGTGATTTCTGTATCTCAGGTTTTAACCCTAGCACTTGGGCTAACAATACCTTGATAGTTATTGGTGGGGAGGTAAATTAGTGCAGCCATTATGGAAAGCAGTATGGAGAGCCCTCCAAAAAAATAAAAATGGAAATTCTACATACTCCAACTATCTCACTTCTCAGTATTTACCTGAAAAACACAAAAAGACTAATTCAAAGAGATATATGCACCCATGTTCACTGCTGCATAAGCTTACCAGAGCTAAGAACTGTAAACAGCCTAAGTGCTCATCCACTGACACAATGGAATACTATACAGTTATAAATAAGATGAAATCCTGCCACTTGCAACAATGTGGAGGACTTAGAGCTTAGTCAAATAAGTCAGATGAGAAAGACAAATACCATATGATTTCACAAACTGATGAATGAAATAAAACAAAAATAAACTCTTAGGCTATGAGACCAACTTGTAGTTGCCAGAAGGAAAGAGGAAAGAGGGTGAGCAAATCAGGTAAAATGGGGTCCACTGGGTGGTGAAGGAGAGAACTGGACTGTTAGCTGGAAACTTAAGTCGCATATAGATGTTAACATACCACAATGCACACCAGAAACTTAGACAATGTCGCAGTGCAATGTTACTTCAATACAAAGCAAACAAACACAGCACCTTAGCAGGATCTCATAGGACAGGAGATGAAGGACGGCCAGGTTCTGCTGTGGAAAGGGGGGGAGCGGAGGCAGCCAACTCTTCTCTGAAGAGGAGGGCAAGCCCAGAAGAGCTGTGTCAACCACAGCCGTGGAGGTGGCCTTTGTGGTCGTTTCCCCCAGAGCTGTCCAGAGCGACTTTTCAACCTGGTGGGGGTGAGTGGACGATGTGAGGTAGGCTACTCTAGCACAAGCAAGGACAAGTGGAATGCAGGGCTTTGCTGTGGTCATCACATCCAGGTGCAAGACGCACTTGCTGTCACTCCTTCTGCATTTCTGAGCCTAATTCCTAGTCCTCAGTTAAACAGCCAAGCCCACTGCCCCATGTCTTCAGCTCCTCTATCTTAAAATGAAGTAAGCTCCCTCTCTTTTTTCAATTGTGTAACCATCCCTTGGTTACTTTTGTTAGAAACTAGAATTTTTTTTTGTTTTTATTAAAAGTCTATTCTTGGCCATAAAGGTGTCTGAGGGAACACTGTTCATTCTGTAAGAATACATGAATTCTCCTGAGTGAGAGAAAATGAAAAATAACACATGGAGGCCAGGCTGACTTTCATCACACCACTTTTGGGCGTTGGATTCTCTGACTTCTGACAATTTGCTATGGCTAACACATCTCTCAGCCTTCCTAGGTGTCTAGTAAACATGTATGTAGGACCCTCCAGGGGGTGCGTTTCATGAGGTCACAGTCATCCTCTCTGGTCACGAGTCCTTGAGAGTCAGCCTCTGGCTCTCTACAGTCACACCTGGTCAGGCAAAAACAACGCAGTGAGAGTTTCCGGGTCCAGGTAGGACATGAAACAGATGACGTGGCATCCTGCCCAGAGAGGTGTAGTCCAAAGTCTCCAGGTTTGGGACCCTGATGCGGCCCTGACATCTCATTGTTCCGCTCCCTCGTTCCATATTATCTGGGCCTTCTCCACAGTCCTGGCAGCAGCAGGGAACACCTGCCTCCTTCTCCAGCAGGCTTCCATGTGGAAGAGGAAGGACTGACACAAGTCCACAAATGGAAGTCCAGACCTCCTCAGAACTCCACCCCATCCTGGTGAAAATCTTGTTGGACAGAAGATTTCGTGTCTCTGTTGAAATCTTTGTATTTGGATTTTTGCCCTAGTGTCTGCGTTTTCCCAAGAACAGATGAGTGTATGTCTCACATCCCCTTGACTAAAGGCTCTTTCTGATGACCTCAAACAAACAAACAAAAAAGACTTCCTCTAAGAACCTGTGCTCATGAATGGCCCAATAATCAAATATAAATATGTGTGGGAAAGAAATGAAAGAATGAATTGTTGTCTTTCAGCTGGCACTCCCCACACATTAGTTTTATTTTCATTTGCTTCCACTCTGAATATTCAAATATACAATAGCCAATACTAGACATATACCTGGTAATTAATTTATGTGTGAAATGAAAAAAGCTTAAAATAATTTATCATGCACTACAAAGATAGACCCTATCAAGATAAAGAGTAGATGCCTGGCTGTATAATTTCAATAATTAAATTGGCCATAGATTGAAGATTCATGTGAGTGTTTTCATATCCAGCCTAAGGAATGGAGCTCTGGTTGGCATTTCGTGACTATGCGAAACAAACAAAATAAACCTTTTTATTGTTCCTGAGTGATAATCAGTGACCTGAAGAGTCGAGCCAACCAATGGAATCTGATGGTGAGTTTTTAAATAATCATGGGGTTGTACTTTGCAACTGAATATACCTAATGTACAATGACTGATATGTGTCAAAGCTCTTAAGAGTTTTCTTTTAAAAGTCGAGGTTAAGCAGACTTCCATCACATAAAAACATAAGTGATATGGAAATTAGGAGAAATGTCTCAACTTGTACTGCCTGGAAGAACTGAGGGACAATGACCCCGTTCAAATAACTGCCAGATGTGCAGACCTACAAACATAGACCCAGCCAGCCCATAACCCCATACTGTCATCAATAAGTGCAGGTGCTATCTCCTTTCCTCCCATTAGACGCTGTCTCTGGTTTGTAAAGAGGAAGTCACAGAAGGGGGGGTGGGCACAGCAGGGTTACTTTTCTAGCTCAATCTGGGGCTGGAGGCTGTACCAATGCAGGGAAGCACACAGGATTCGAAGAGCTCATGGAGAAATGTAAACTGATCCGACCACTATGGAAAGCTATGTGGAGGTTCCTCCAACTCTCTAAAAATGGATCTTCCATATGATCCAGCAATTCCACTCCTAGATATCTACCCAAAGGCTGTAAAAACATTAATCCAAAAGGACACCAGCACCCCTATGTTTATAGCAGCACTATTTAGGTAAGCTATGGAAACTACCCAAATGCCCAAAAACACATGACTGGATCAAGAAGATGCAGTACATATACGCAATGGAATATTACTCAGCAATCAAAAAAGATAAACTCATGCCATTCACAGCAACGTGGATGGAACTGGAAGGGATTATGATCAGTGAAATAAGCCAGAAAGAAAAAGAAAAATACCAAATGGTTTCACTCATAGGAGGAATGTAGGGGATCCAAATAAGGGATCAGAGGGGGGAAAGAATTATAATAAAGTGAAAATCAAAATCAACAGGTAACTATAAACCAAAGACATTCTTCAAGGAGGGGAGAAGGGAGTAGGATCAAAACAGGGGTGGGAAGAGCACAAGGGCCTATGGTGATGGTACATGGGTGAATTGGTGTTGGGTATTTCACAGGGACTGTAACAGAGATGAGAAAGCATACATTGTGCAAAAATTAAGAACGATGGAAAAAATATATAAAATAAAAAAAAGAGCCCATGAAGGAAGAAACCAAATGCCTATCAAGCTCCCTGTATGAGCCAGTCAGTTTTGCTAAGTGCTATTGCACTGAGCTTCCTGTGATGCCATGAGGCATTGTTTTTCTTCACTTTCCAAAGGAGAAAACAAAGGACCACATGGTTTGTCCAAAATCACACAGAGAGTGGCAGTGAAATCTCCAACCCTAGGACCTGTGAGCTGTATGTGCTAACACGAAAGACATGTGTCCTAAATTGTTTCCTTTCTTTTTGCATCCTTCAAGCTTATCTAACTAAATTAAACAGAGCTACTGCATTTAGCAGTGTAAGCCACTCTTTAAATTGCCTCAGAGTCAGTAGGACAGGATCCTTGGGCAGCTACTTGACAGGGAATGGCTGTCTGTTTTCTATATAATTAAATGTAGAATACAATCGACACTCAACATGTATCCCTTTTTTTTTTTTAAGCTAAACTTGACTTGACATTAATAGATATAACTTGAGAATCAGCATTCTGGGTGCCTTTTGAGTTCTTTGCATTTCAGGACTGACCTGTGGAGCACACACCCCCTTGTCCTCCACCGTGGCTATGGGGCACCCTGAGAAAGGAGTCGCTGGAACACAGCAGTCAAAAATGAGCACTAGTTCTCACCTATTTCCAAACCCCATTTTTGAAGCAAACACTAATCTGAGAGATTTTGTGTGCACCAGTTCACGTGCAGCGTACTGCCACTTGAAAGCACGTCCAAACACAGTGCTTGCAGAGATTATGAAAATTTTATTAACAAAGAAAATCTGCATTACACATATCCCCTTTAAAAACAGCCACCTCAAACATGTAGGCAATGCTTTGTTTTCTATTCACTAATCTGTCAGTGCCAGAAGAATGAGACCGCAGCACCAAGTACAGGCTGATATTTGTGAAGGGGATAATCATTTGAGATACCAAAGAACTAGCAAATCAGAAGAAATGAATCAAGGCATTCATTTCACAGGCTGAATCTCTGAGTCTTCATCCAAACCAATGTTTCTGTTGAGTCCACAGATGCAGTTATCAGCTCTTTTTAACAGTGTCCTGAACATACAATGTACCCTGGAAAACCCCATAGGGCTCTCAGAGGCAGCCCGCACAGCAGCCAGCAGGATTTACAGAAATGTATGGCTACACAGTAAGAGTTCAGAAACTTCGTGAGCGGAAACGATCCGATTTTCAGGACAGCTCTTGAGTCCATTTCTGATGATCTCCAACTGCTCCACTGTTGTTCTTCAGAATCTCCTTTTGATATTACTAAAAATCTAGAAACACATTCTAGATACACTGCATGCAAGAGAGGAGGTGCAAGAATACTGAGAGTCTGATGTCCTGGGCGTGATGAGAAAACATGAAAGGGTCTCACTGTCAAAACCACACATCGGCGTGTGGAGCTGGACACCCCTCAAAAGAGATCACATAGACTTTCAATTCAAAGAGGGGGGAAGTTATGTCTGTTACTTTGACTACAGTTTCTAGGGCCTGGTGTAGCTATATTTTTAGGCCCGGCTCCAAGAAGCTGCCTACACAAATTTGGAAGGAGCGAGGGAGGCACAGATGGTGGTCACGTGAAAGCACAGACCGATTGAGTGGGCTCGGTTACAGAGTCTGTACATTTAGGCTGCTGTAGTCCTCCCTCCTATTTCAAGTATTGCCAAGTCCCGGTTGTTCCCCCTCTTTCCAAAGTCTTGATTCATTTAATTCTCCTTAAGGAGGTGGACGTGGAGGAGGATTGCGCAAATCTCCCTGTTTTATGGTTTGGAGGAGCCAGTCCCCGCCTTGGCTCCTTGTCAGATGTTAAACGTAACATTTTGCTAAGTGTAAAGCTGTGTATCTGTTCCTTCTCTGTTGCCTTTATTGTAACTTCAATATTTGCAAAACACAACCTCAAAATACTTCAAATCCAGCCCCAAACAGTTTGCTATTCATACAACACGAGGCCTCCTCCTATCAATACTGGCATGACAGCACCAGGATGGGTGGTGGTTGTTACTGTTCCTTCTGTTTGATCTTTTTTCTCTCTTGGGGAATTGAAGAATGATTCAGTCATAAAATAGCAAAATCCCCAAGTTATAGGTGTATATCCTGATGATCATCAAGTTTATCGCCCTGTGAGTTCTTACTGGTTGCAGTATTTAGAAAAAGGAAGTACAGAAGCTAAAGCTAGTCTGCCATTTGAAATACCCTGTGATTGGTCTGTAAAGCATAGAGCACCTTAGTGATGTATAGAATTTAAATTTTTTAATAAAGCCCCACCCCCCACCCCAGGGTGTTCACTATAAAAAGTTATTAAAGGTATTCAAGGCATCCTTCTAAGTGATGGCTAGTTCATTATCATTGGCTCTAAAGCAATAGTTCCTTGTTCTAAAGAATAGCCTACAATACTCCAGATTCTCAGTAATTTTCTTCTTTATGTTGGAAACTGTCAAAATCAAAATGGATTCAGTGTTGGGACTTCCTAACGAGTCACCATCAGGATTCCTGGTATTGTGTCCATGCAATTTTTGAGTGTGATCTAGCCTCCAGCCCCAAGGTCTCATTGCGAAGGCTTCGTGGCCAGAGCTAATGTGCAGCAGGCCATTTTTAAAGCAAGTCAATATATAAACAGGTTTTCACACCTGTTTATGCGGAGGACAAAAAAGAACCTTACAGTCCTCCCACTAACTGACTTAACAGTTTCCTTTATACTTGGATATTTATGTGGTGCAGAAACCGACACTATGATCACATCAATAGAATTATTCATCTGTCTTCTAAGGCAAACAAGAAAGTGTTTTTCTTTTAGGGTAGAATTTCATGACTAGTAAAGTATATTGATAGGCAATGTAGAAAGGGAAATTGAGCTCAATGACTATCCTGAATTTCAGTTTTTGACAGAGAAACTTTCTCTACTAGAGAAAGCTCTTAATAACATTTATGCTGTATGAGTCTGCATTCTGAGCTCCCTCCTGAAATCACTGATAATGTTCCAAATTTAATGGTAACAATAGTAAAAGAAAAGTCTCTCACTACAGGGTACTTGTGCTTTTTAAAGTCACAGCATTTAGAAACAAAACAGAAACTACACGACCCCCCATCAACTCAGGGGGCATATGCTCAAATAGGGACTTCACAACATTAGCGTAAGTCTCCTGGTTGACAGCATACAAATCAATAATAGGATTATGTATCAGACACAGTTTGATGAACGGAACACATCGGCAATACCCAATCTTCCTCAAAAGTACTTAGCTGCCAACAGAGATCATTTACCACATATCACAAATGTGCTATTTGTATAAACATTCCCACTACAAATGTTCTTGTTTTTGTTTAAATGAATATTTTTAACCTGAGAGCTATTAATAATTTTTTTTCTTCCTTGTAAAGCTTGGCTTTCAGAAGAAAAGAATCTTCGAGCCTCCTCTCTTGTGAGAGTAATTTCTCCTAATACTGACAGTGCTACATAAGTACAGCCAGGGCTCATTAAGTAGTCTTCTGAGCGTAATTATAATTAACAATTAGCTAGAAATTAGTTTTAATGATTTGTTTTAGATGATAGAATAGAAACCTAATGTAATTATTTTTAAAGCTTCTACATCGTTAAGAATACAACTATCACTAGCTTTCAATTACTGAGAAACTGGTAATCTTCCAAAGCATTTAGTCAGTGATCTGCTTGGAGAGCCAAACCAGGCAGCCCAGAGCAAGGCTGCCGCCGGACCAGGTGTTACCATGCCCGGGCCTTCTGCAGCAGCCCTTCCTCTCCCACTCTGCTCTGCTCCTTCCCCCTGCTTCACGGCTTGCAGACAGATCTATAGAGACAGCGGCAGGGTGTCCCTGGCCGTCAGCACTTCCTCCACCCCTGCCTTTCTCCAAGACAGAGTGAGGCCCACAGTGAGAGGAGGGAAGGCCTGGAGGCACACTTACAGAATCCTGCAGTGTGGGCCTAAACTCACACCATCACACCAGACCCACAGCAAAGAAGGGTATAGAAGTCACGGATTACAGTGAGCGTGAGGGGTCAACTCCAGACTTAAAGACACATCTATGCCATTATTCCCCATTCAGCATTCTTTTAATATCCTGGAGTCAATTTGGATCTTATTTTCACCACAAGATTTTTTTTTCAAATCCTATAGAGGCCTGAAGAAAAGCTCTTTCATTTCCTGAAAAAATATATTCATTTAGAAACAGTGAATAATAGCATGGCCAAATTTTTTTTTTCTTTCCTTTTTTTTTTTTAAACCTCAGCTATTTTCCCTCCCACTTTTGAGCGAGAACACTAGACCTTTTGCTGCTGGTCTTCGGAAGGTGTTAGGGAGCACATCCTGACACCCACATAAAAGACCTGGTACCTGTGTTCCCACATCACACAGCAGGCCCGCAAGCATACGAGGCCGCAGACCAAGTTAAGAATCATCTGGATGAGTAAAAAGAGTTTGAGGGTGCTGGTGAAGCTGGCACAGTCGGTCACATCCTGGTACACAAAGGACCTGCTCAGTGGCTCCTCAAAGGACAGCTTGCACTGGCAGTAGTCGAGGGTGGCCATACACTTCAGCTGAATGAGCTGCAAGTAGCGGTGGGCAGCAAAGGCCGCGGCCAGCACGCAGACTATCAAGCCCAGGGCGCTGAGCAGAAAGTACAGCAGCTGCAAGAGAGCAGAAAAAAAAACCCTCCCAGTTAAAAGAACGTTGCATGACTACTGACAAATTGAATTCATAAACACGGTCCTTTCCCTCTCTCCCAGGAAGTTCACTGGCAGAGTGGCTGTTTCTCCTCAGAAACACAGTACCCAGGGGAATAGAAATGGCTCCATGTTAATTTGTTCACGCACAATCCTTCTACCCCAGCCATATTTCCATTTGCCATACAGCTGTTGGGCACTTTTCATGGATGGGGCCAAGAGGATGAGCTCTGTTGTGGGAGGTCTGTGTGTGACTCATGCAAGCAAGCAGCTCAGGTGACTCCCAAACACGACAGCTATCCCCTGATAGGTATCTGTGACTCCGCTGATCACAAGCGGCTGATACGAAGACTGAAACAAGACTAGGTAGTAAAGAACAGTAAAGTCTCTGCAATGCAAACACTGTGTTGACCCAAACTGGTAATGACTGTTCAACCAGCAACATGGATTCATAAAAAGATAATGTTCAAGGCAGTGTTTGCCAAACTGTGTCCAGGAATGCCAGGATCTCCAATCAGCAGTTGGTGGGGGTCTGGGGGGAGGAAGGAGGGAAAGGATGGCTCCAGAAGGCAGGTGGCTGGATGTCACCTTCATTGCCTACCAGTCTCACCCAAGCCCATCTATGAGCCCATACAGCAACTTGAGCATGAAAAGAAACTCTGCATGGTCCCTCACATTGCTCAGCTTCTGCTGGCCAAAATAGCAGCCTTGGGATTACAAAAGAGTCTGGTACAAGATCTAACTGATTCTGAGCAACCATGGCATACTTGCACGAGGCAAAACATATAGCCTACATCTGAACAATGTGGATAAAATTGCCAGGACTCGTTGACATGGCTGGGACAGAAACTGTGTCACAAGAAATGTTTGCACCTACTGAAACATTTCTCTTCATGGTCCTGCCCACTGAGGGTCCAGATGAACACCAGAGCTCCAGGTTCTGGGGACTAGTGTAGTCAACACAGCTCTCAGTGCCAGACTGACAACACCACAGGCAAAAGTTATTCTTCACAAGGAGCCCTTTTGGTGACTGTAAACTCTTCATATTCAGGTTGATTTTGGTCATTTCCAGACTCAGATCAAAATAGCTGTGAGAAAATTATCCCCCACCTTCCCACCACCTCCAATGATATGTAATGCAACATAAAAAATATATATATATATGATTTTTTATGTGCACAACAGTCATTTAAGTGAGTGCTTTTCTACATAACGACAATTTCAAGGATTTTCAAGTCTTCAGCATACAATAAATCAAACTTTTTTTTTTTATTTTTTTCTCCATGGCGTGTGTGGGGTGTGTGTGCGCACACACACACGTGCTCATGCACGTGCACACATGTGTGACTGGTTGCTGGAACACTAAGCACACGTCTGGCCTGCCTGGAAGCCTGACCATATGTCTGAGGTCACAGGAAGAGAGTGGGACTGTTAAAATCATTTTGCCTTAATATAGTTGGACAACCAAAGAAGGCATATCTCATCAAAGATATATTAAACATGCACACCATTTTTCACTTTCAAATCATCTGAAGGATTATCAAGCACAACCCAAGTTTCTTCTTGAGTGGGTAAAAGTTCATGGAAATATCTTATATCTTGGATATGTAATAAGGAAAACTTATACTTAAAATGTTTCATTTCCACTGGAGGAAAAGGAGTCAGATAAATATAAGTGGCCCTGTTGTAAAAGTTGGAAGGGAAATATTTAATTTGTGACACTGAATGCATCACTTTGGTTCCATGCCCAACATTTTCAGTGGCCATATTTTCTGCAAAAACTGAAGGTTAGGCTAAAAACCTTTGGGTTTGTTTTGTGTAGATTTGGGGGCAGAACATTTAAAATATTCTAGGTTTTTCTGAAATATTCAAGCTTGATGACTGACTTCAAAACTCTTGATGCCAAGAACTAAATTAAATCGTGCTGGTGAAGCTGTACATGTGCACCCACTGAGGCTGCATTAACAGGGCAGTCAGCACAGAACTGGGAATCGTTTAATCTGGGAACATAGGTACATTGAAGCCTTTACCAGCAGGGAAAACTCAAATTAAAGTTATAATTTCCCACCTGAGAGTCACCTGCTTAGTAGAATGGCCCCAACTGGTGTTTTCTCTACACATTTTACTGAGCGCAATGGCTCGAATCAGGGAGGTCCTGTAATAATCCTCCTACCTCTAACACACCCGCACAGCCTTAGATAGATTTCTAGAACATTCCTTGGTATCACATCTTGAAGTAATGACAACAATCCCTCAATCTCAATCCATAAATAAGTCAAATAGTTGAAAAATATTTCTCTCTCATAATCATCATAAAAATTTGTTGAATTGAGAAGGAGAATGGCCATTTTTAAAAGAAGACTATGCTGTATGATTTCATTTACATGTGGAAGATAAAAGAAAGAAAGCAAATGGGCCAACAAAACAAGACAAAACCAACCCTTAGATTCTAACAACAAAATGGTGGTTACCAGAGGGAGAGAGCGTGGCCAGGGGGTGGGAGTGGGGGGATATAGGTAGAGGGGTTAACTATATGGATGGTAGTGGGTGGTAACTAGACCTCTGGTGGTGGGTGGGGTGTGGCATGTACAGTTATCCAGGTGTGAAGCTGTGCACCTGAAATGTAGACAGTCTCGTAAACTAATATTACCTAAAAAAAATTATAAATAAAATACACAGAGCAATAACTGTTCTTTATATATACTATAAAGGGTCTGCCTTACAGAAAATAAGACCTTTTAGACCAAATACAGCAGTCTTGTGAAAAGTGAAGAGCACAATCGGGAGCCAGACTACCTGAGTTCAAATCCTAGTTCTCTCATTAGCAAGGACCTTGGGTGAACTAAACCCTTCCACAAGTACCTCCATTTTTCCATCTGTAAACTGGGAGTACTGGTCACAACAGAACCTACTTCACAGGGTTATAATAAGGGGCAAAAGAGTCACCTCTGTAAAGGGCTTAGTACTGTGTCTGCTACATAGTAGCACTTTTAAAGTATTTTTGTGAAATAAATAAACAAATTGGTAGAGAAAGAAAGAGCTGCCAGTTTTCAGGACTCAGACTATCAGCTTACTGGCTTTGTCTTTGTCATGTGGGAGTAACAATGCATACTTGGCTTGTAGAAATGATGTAAACATTTACACAAACACGCTGATTACTCAATTTTAATTGCGCATTTTAAATATGCTAGAAGTGAGTGAGAGCACCAAAAGCCCAGTCCGTGACTCTTCTGAATGTGCAGACGTGTTCCCTGGTGCCTCTGTCAGGCTTGGCCTCTCTGCCTCTCCCACTGGGTGAAAGCGTCTGGCCAAGTAAACACGAGTGCACCACGGAATCAAGTTTCTTATCCATGTTCAGGCATAAATACCACTCGCTTCCCCAAAGCCTGCGGGCCACATCTGCAGCAACTCATCTGACAGCGACAAGCTTTGGGGGATAATCTGTAATTTAAAATCAAGTGGCTTGTTTTACCTACCCGGCACGAATAAACTATCAATGAAAGTGTTTACGATGACCTTGGGAGGGCGAGCAAATATATCTTGATAAAAGCCAGGCTGCGCACGTCTGATTAGCTGGTGTCAGCCCGTGCGCCCTGCGCGGGGCGGGCGGGAGGCGCGGTGGCCCCGTTTATGTAACCGCAGCGCCGGCTGGCCCCGCGCACCGCTAATTGGTACCCGCGGCAGCCTCAAGGCTCCGTGACTTCGGCGGGAGGGCGATCGGCTTCGATTTAATTACCTTCCCCAGTGGCTGCTGAGGCCCCTCTGCAGCTCGCCGCGCAGGAGGAGGCGGCAGCATAGCCCAGAGGCTTCCTGGATGTGGGCACGAGGCAATTGCGCCTTAAATGCCCTCGTGGGGAATGTGCCCCAGAGGGTTTCTGCAGGCACATGAACAGGACACGTTTCTGAAAATCAAGCTGAGCCTTGAGAAAGCAGAGCCACGAGGAAAGGCAGAAGGCCGAATCCTCCGCGGACTGGCCGCTGCAACCCAGGGGCCAGGGGCTGAGCGGAAAGAGAAAGGAGTCCCGGTGGGGTCCGGGATCTGACAAAGGGCCCCTGGAGAAGGCTGTTCTAGCTTGAGATTAAAAGACAAGCCCCTGAGGTTACTGTGCCTAAGAAATAGAGGGTGTGTGTGTGTGTGTGTGTGTGTGTGTGTGTAGGGTATATGTGTTGTGGGTATGTGTTTTTGTGTGCATGTGTGTTTATGAATGCACTGGCTAGTGTGAATGGGTATGTGTGGGTGTGTGCATATGTGTGTGTGGTGTGCATGCACCTGTATGTGTGTAAGCATATGCAGGGGGGTGTACACATGAGCCTATATGTGTTAATGTGTGTGCATATGTCTGCATAGTGTGTGGGTGTGTGTACATGCATGTGCAGTGTGTTGTGGCACATATAGGCTACAGTGGCATGCTGTCATCCTCGCGTCACTGACTGCCCTGGTGATCCGGGCCTCCCAGAGGGAGAAATAAATTCTGCAACAAAACTTAGTCCAGGGTGTCAACAGTGAGGCCCTCTGGCACAGCTCTGCTGGTGAAAACACGGATGAAGACACACGTCACTCCTTCCCCGAATGGTATGAGCAGCCCAGGGAAGCCTGCTGTAACTGCTGTGCCTCCAGAAAACCTGGAGACTGAGTGAGACTCACTTCCAACCTGAAGAAATTATACCAGGCACTCTAAAGAGAGCAGGAGTATCAGAAAGGGTCACATTCAGGAGAAGAGAAAGTGCCTCTGTATTGGTCATGGCCTGTCACAGGTGAAAAGAAAAGATAGTTAATGAGATCTTCCTTGTGGGGGATTCCAGCCTGGCTGACACTGGCAGTGATTTGTTTGGGGTTTGTCTCAGTTTTGGGGTTTGCCCTCACTCCTGATTTTAAGTGCAGATTTGAGATGGCTTTCGGGCCTCCTAGCCAACGCTTTTTGCCTCTGCTGTTTTCCTGGGCTCAGAGGACATTCCATGTCCTGATGACCTAGGTCAGAGTATTTTCACCTAGGGATGCCTGTTTCTCCGGCCTTCTTTTAAGGAACACTGTAAAATAGAAAAGGTAAAGCTTCTGATTGTAAACATATCTATCATTTTTAAGAAATACCATCCATTAATTTTTAATTAGAAAAGTTAAGCCCAGTGAATGGAGAACATTTTGACATTAGAGGGGAAAACTCCAAAATGCAGCTATAATCCAACCACTCAGAGATAACTCTGTTTTCTATGCCCATAAGAGCTATATTTTTCTTCTGTAGGATCATACCATGCATTTTGTGCCGTCAACTTTTTTTTTGGTTAGTTAATATGATGTGAATATTTTTATTCCATTAATTATTCTTTTACAACGAGATTTATATGTATTGTGTATATCTGTATCAGCACATTGCTTTTTCATGTCAACAGTTTCAATATAATAGAAGCCCCTAGTATCTTATTTTCTGCATATTCCTTATTTCCAAATATAGTTAACTTACTCTTACACCTTATACTTTCTTGGTTTAGTGTACAAAGGAGGATCTAGCGTCTATGTGTTTTCTTGTGGGAGAAAAAACAATGTGAATGGAGCCCTCCCCCGCCCCCCAAAAAAGCACATTACACAAAGCTTTTTGTTCTCTGGTACAGCAGTTGAAAGAAAATGTAGGAATTTGATTTCTACTAGCTCTGATTGTTGAGTTGAGTGTTTATCTCCCTAAACTCTGAAAGGGTGGGTCTATATTTTCCTTTGGAGTAGATTCTACTGTGCAGTGAAAATGGTGTGTACTTGAATTGGCCCAGACCAAATGTACTATCTCTAAGAGGGAAAAAGCAGAGGCACAAGAAAGCACACATACTTGCTAAACCAAGCGTAACCCTACCTCCCCCTCTGCCCTCACACTCTTGGCACAGGTAACTTGGATGCACCCAATGTACTTTTTCTGTCTCAGTGATCCCACCTACAAAAGGAAATACACTTAGACAGCTTCATTACTAAAATATTTTCAATAACCCCCGAGATATGGAAGTGGGCACTGATAGAAGCCTTTTCTCTGGCCAAATGTTGTGTTGAACTGATGAATTTTCAATATTCCTTTTAAGGGCACTGAAGAACAGACTTCATGTGCTCCATGCCAACCCACTTCATGGAAATGAAAACTTAAAAAGAAACAACAACCCAGCATTACCTTTGGGGTCTGGATGAATGCCCTCCTAAAACATTTTTGGCCTGCCTAAAAACGCAATTTCTAGTCTAATCAGATATTCAACCCCTTAAAAGGCACTCCTTTATTTTGTGCGTGTATCTCTTCCTATGTGATGATAAAAAAAAAAAGAAAAATGACAACTCACTTTCATAGCAAACTGGATACATGTCCGTTCGTCAACTTGATAGGAGACACAGAGCATAAACAACCCGAGATAGGCCACCACACAGACCTGCAACGGGAACAGGGACGAAAGGGCGTTATCAGGGCACATCATGTATTCTGATGGCATCAGTCTCAAAGCCTCTCGCCAGTTCCATCCTTGTTATCGAGGTGTTCATTTCATTTACTATCTTTATGTGCTATTTTTACCCCTCAGCTTGAGGAACAATTTTAAAAACAGTAACCATGAACTTACTTCCAGTTAGCCAGGACTTACGACATTGTTTTGATGTGCCAGGTGCTACGCAAGGCCCTGCAGCATGTACAAAGATGAACACAATTTCTTCGACCTCAATAAGCATGAGGTCAATAGTGTTCCACCTAGTTGAGGCCAACATCAGTGTAAACACTATTCCCAGGCAGGGTGCTACATGTTAACCGTTATTCAGAGAAGTGTAAAAAGAATGAAATAACACCCAGGCAGGCCGTTACAAGAAGATATTTCTCAAGAGGTGGACTTGAAATGGACCTTGCAAGGGATGCTAGTAATAGTAGTGATCCCTAACATTAACTGAATACTCGATTTGTGCTGGGGCTCTCCTGAGGGTATAGGCCTGTATGGATTTCCTTATATAATCATCACAAACCCTAGGAAGTGGGTGCTATTAGGATCTTCACATTATAAATGGGAACACAGAAGACACAGTGCTCAGGATATTATCTAACTCATCTCAGCAAGGTTAATACACCAGCTGGGCCAAAGTGCAGGTGGCAGCAGGCAGAGAGAGTGAAAGAGGTGGCGAGCAAAGGCACAGGAGCTCGACATCATGACTACGATATGACTGACCAGAGCTGCCTGGAAAGGACGGCAGAGAGTGATCTCCAAGGTTCTGTGTGTCAATGAAGGAAAGAGAGGGGATCGCCTGGCTGGAGGAAGGCAGGTAGGAAAAATGGCAACTTGGAGAAAAAAAGATAACTCAAATTTGCCTTTCCTTTTCACTATGATTTCAAGTTTCCAGTCAAAGAATTACCTATTCATACTCAGTTCTGGAGACCTTAAAATGTTGCTAAGTTCTGCTTTGGGATGGAAAACAAAATTGCATTAGCTGATAAGCACCATTTTCCTAGACAGATATTGGAAGGGTATCTGGAAGTCACCTGGAAAATCATTCAAGTATTCTAAGTTCCTAACCCCAGAGGCCACATCACACCAGGTACCATCCCTGTTAGGGTGGTAGAGCTATTTACCTTCAAAGCCAACAGAGCATTTTCTTAGTATTTTGTTGTAATGAGACTGCATTATCTCATGATGTAAGTTTCAGGTGCATCATCATTACACGTAAACATATGTACATGCTACATTAAGGTCACCATTAAAAGCAATTCTACCCCTCACCATACAGAAGACCTCTAAATCTGACTTACTTATCTCCCTCCCTCTTTTCTCTGGTAACCACTAACCTGTCTTAGACTCCAAAACTCATTTTTGCCCCCTTAGTGCATCTTTATTTGTAACACAGCTGCCATTTACAAGTCAGAGAAGTTCTTTTTAAAAATATTAAAAGTATATATTTAATTAAAGAACCAATTTGAGAACATATATAAGGGACTAGGTATCTCACCATCAGAATCCACAGAAGAAATCCAAGGGGACTCCAAGGGAAGAAAAGACCGGGGTTTTTTGTTTGTTTATTGGCAGCAAACCAGATGGCAGTCTCTAAACCTGCTTCTGTGGGGCTCCTTGAGTCCCTGAGCTTCTTTCTGCTGGCGCTCCCTGTTCAGTGTGGGTCCACGCCGTGGTTCACAGAACCCTATCCATCCCAGGAGGCTGCTATGCTGAAATTGGCAATTGCTGAGGCTTTCCTCTTTGCCTTTACATTCAGAATCTAACTGAGCAGATTAAAAACTAGACTCTCTGCTTTGCTCGAACACATCTGCTTGGATTGTTTCTCCTGCCTTGCAGCCCTCATTTAGCCTGCTTTCCTGCAAGCTGCTGCACTAGGACCTCGGACAGCATGTTTGAGCATTCATCAATGCAAGGAACTTTGTCAGGACATACAACAGTCTACAATGATCCAGCGGGAGAGAGGACAGTGAAGCGACAATACCATGTAAACCTGGAACCACATCTGCTGTTATAGATAGAAGCTGGGAAACTTCCTGGAGGAAGTGGGTTTTGAAGGACAAGCAGAAATTAGGTGAGGAAGAGCAGTGAGGGTATGTGGAGGCCCAAAATGTGGAGAAATGCAAAGTGAACATGGGTGGATTCGACAGCCCCGGTGCAGAGGATGAGACGAAAAGGAGAAAGATGTGCTTGCAGAGACAGACAGAAAGTTGGCCCCTGGGGCTTTTATTTCAATCACACAATGGTGTCTCAGTTTTGTCTTTTTAGAATGACTGTTCCCTCTGGTTGTGAGGAGTTGGACTGGGGAGGGAAGACCAGTGAAGAGGCTATTCTTCATTTCTGGAGAAATACAGGGCGCCCAGGCTGTTGCAGTGAGGCAGACAGTGGGTATATGACCCAGTATAGTTGGTGTGAGAACCAACTGGAAGGGCTGAGGAGAGGAAGGGCGGGAAAGATGCTCAACTATCTGACTGGAACCGTCAGCAGGATGGTGTTGAATTTGAAGAGACAAAAGATACAAGAGGAAGCAGACTGCAAGTGGAAAATGACCACACCCACGTGGACTCAGAGATCAACCATGTGGGCCTAGAACTCAGAAAGGAGGTCTGGGCTGGAAATCAGCACCATTAATCATCAGCGCAAGTGAATCCTGGACCATCCAGGGTCTAGTAAGCACAGAAAAGGGCCAAGAAAGCTTCCCAGTTTTGAAGAAACTTTGACTCTTAGCTTCCCATTTTGTTTACATTTTCTTTTTATTGAGGTAACATTAGTTTCTAACACTGTGTAGGTTTTAGATGTACATCTACATCTAAACCCTACATCTACATCTGAACCCCACATCAACTGTATATATCATCCCACACCCACCACCAAATGCCCCCTCACCATCCACCACCACCCAGTCTGACCCCTCTACCCACTCCCTGCCCTCTTCTTCTCTGGTAACCATCATTCTATTGTTGGGGTCTAAAGGGAGGCTTCATTTTCATTTTGTTTACTCAATTTTTTTTCTCTATATTCTCTATATATTTTCTCTGTACTCCATAAATGACTGAATCATTTGGTATGAATCTTTCTTCTTTGGGTTTATTTCACTTAGCATAAGCCCCTCAAAGTCCATCCATAGTCTCACAAATGGCAAGATTTAGTCTTTTTTTTTTTTTTTATGACTGAGTAGTATAGAGACCACATCTTCCTAATTCATTTCTGTCCCAGGGTGTTGGGTTGTTTCCATAGCTTGGCTGTTGTGAATAATGCTACAGAGAACATAAGGGTGCATCTATCTTTTCAAATTAGTGTTTTCATGTTCTTCAGGTAAATATCAGAAGTGTGATCACTGGATTATTTGATATTTTTTTTCATTGTTAATTTTTTCTTTTTGTATTGAGTTAACATTGGTGTATAACACTATGTGATTCAGAGGCAGGATCACAGCTCCTCTGACACATCCTCTGACTCTTTTGAATAGAAAACATCTCAAACACACTTGTTATTTTGATTGTAAATCATGCATGTCTAAATATTATAACACTGATCACCCTTGTGGATTTTTAAATGGAGCATTTGCTATGGAGCCTGAATCAATTCAACATATTTTAATTTCTGATAGGGCTTCATGGGCTTTAAAGAGGGGGAGACTTCCTTTTCTCCCCTATAGCTTTGCAATACTTCCTTACCAGCCAGTTTATTGGTATTGGGTGTAAGCACTTTCTAGAAGGGCAGTATTTACTGCATCCTTAAAACTGAAGACTTTATGGCCATGGGCAGATTTCTCACCAGACCAAGGGTCTTATTTCCAAAGCAGGCAGGATGTGGACATGTCTGAAACACAGCATGTTCTGACATCACAGGTAGGCAGGGGGAGCGCATGTTAACAAGCAGTGCAACCCACCAGACCTATCAGAAACAACATTCCTGGAGCCTAAGCCAGGGCTCCCATTAGATATGGTGAGGCAAGTCTCATGCAACAGAAAAGAGGCAATTAAGAAAGGTTTTCAAGAAAGCTTTCACTGGACCAGATACCCAGGCCTGAGATGGATGGTGTATCCCTCACTACAATGCCAACGGGAACTGAGAAACCAGTGCTGCAAAGGCAATGGGGTGCTGACCCTTGAAGAACGTGCAAAGATAAGGTTCATGTACAGATGGACAAATAGGTGGATCAGAAAAATTGACATAATTTTTAATGGCAAAAAGAAAAAGACAACCACCTTTTTTGCTAGCCTCATTTTCCATGTGTTTCTACAATTTGTTTAGCATAAAGAGAAAACCTAAATCCTGAATTCCACATTCTGTGGAAGGATATTCTTTGCCTGCACGCTGCATTCTCCCATGAGTTCGAAAGTTAAACAGAGTTGGGACACTCTCTGAATGTTAAGTCCATCTCCAGATGCATGGGCCCCAAGTCTCGTCACATACTGCCTTTGTTTTTGTTATCTGGTCTACTGAACCTGCAGTGCCTTTTGCAGGCTGGCATTAGGAATGAAAGGTGAATACAGGACCAGTGTCTTAGAGATTTACCTACGTATTGTTTTTCCTTTTCATGTTGGTGTGGCTAGAAGTTATCACCTTAAAACATTTTGTGAGAATGTGAATTATTGGTATTTACTTCTCTCCATGTCATACATATTTACATTCTAGTCTTGTGACATTCACACAACCTCCAATTTATTTGTTTTCTTCTTTGTGTTGTCAACTGAGCTGCTTGACAGGGGTATCGGGGGAATACAACCTTCCCCTGTCAAGTGTCTTTCAAGGTTTCTCTCCTCCTTCCATTCCCACCCCCTTTCAGTTGTGTACCTGAAGTGTGACTCTGTGTCTGCAAGTTAATCACCCTTCACCTCTCTGTATTGAAAGTGCTTTAATTCAGTCAATACAGTAACACCAGGAACTCTTTTCTCATGTTTGCCCAACCAATTCATCAACTGGAGATGTAACAGAACCAT